TAGTAGTAGGGCTCTCCGGCGCCCCCGCGGCGATAGATTACCTAAGTAGTAAGGGTGTTATAGGTTTTACTAAGTAGGTTGTAACACCTCCGAACACCTCCGCTTTTTCGTCTCAATTATTCACTACTATACTAATTAAATTAGAACACCACTATTACGCCCTTAAATCACGCTCCGAATAGCTAAAAATCACCGTAATGCCTAGTAGATTAAAACCTCCGGTTCTTAGTAAGGTCCTCCGCCGACTAGAGGACACGGACGAGAGCGACATTACTATAGCTAATAAAGTTAAGATAAACCGCTTAACCGTTTATCGCATACGCGTATATATAGACCTATTTAGATAACCGTACGCTCCGCGTGGATGTAAACTCGGTCTACGGCCACTGCTATCGGATTACTATGTTCGAATAATACTAGACTAGCTGTCTAAGTAGCTAACTGCCTACCTTAACGAGATGTAGTAGTACCTATAGGATAAATACGGTGTATAGGCCTCTATATCTACTATCTATAGGGCTATATACGACGCAGGCTAGTTACGTAAAGCAGCGAAGAAGCGATTGCGTAAGYAGAGCGAGTTCCTACGTRCGYACTAGCGTAGTAAACGTAATACTTAGCCGGCTAACCGCATCTRCTACATTAACGAGAGTRYATAGAACGAACGCTACGGATAGCGTAAGTATAGTTAGAGTAAGAAGGGCGTTAATTGCGTAGATTAAYAACTATAGGACCGAAGTAAAAGATAGAGTATCTTACCTATAATAATACCGGATAGCTACCTACTAGGAACTCTAATACACTAGGGCAGTATTACCGGAGATATACTATACGAATAGCTAGAGGATACGGTTGTTCCTTAACTCTCCGTAGGGTAGTTGCTAGTCCTTAACAATGCATCTGCGTATTACGACATACGTATTAAACGCCTCTACGCGGAGGCTAGCATTTAGATTAAGTATTTACCGCCTTACTCTCCGGACTACAACCCTATCGAACAGTCCTTCTTAGTTCTAAAAGCGTTCGTTCGACGCTATATTAAGGAAGCAGAGGCATTCGAAAGCTATCCGCACTTCCTTATATAGGCAATTAATAAGTGTTATATAGATCCGGACGTTGCAGAGCGACAGTTTTATTACAGTAGCTTCCGCAATTAGCGAAGATGAAGGATTGAATAAGTTAAGTCGATTGCCGGTACTAGAGCTAGCTCCTTATTAATTGCCCTTATTTATCCTTATCGCTCCAGCCTAGTTAATATTAGATAAATGTTCATTTTCATGGTTTTTTCACGTATATATACTACTGTCGAACTGTCGCATCCCTTACCGTCCTAAAACCCTATATGTACAGCTAAAAACGGCCGTGCGCAACGTATAGCAATGTTCTAAGGGATGCGTAGATGCTAGATAGCTAATCGTCTAAAATGCTAGCTTTCTAAGATAAAGCCGAATCCTCTAAAGTTCCCTACGGAAATGCNTTCTAAGGGATGCGTAGATGCTAGATAGCTAATCGTCTAAAATGCTAGCTTTCTAAGATAAAGCCGAATCCTCTAAAGTTCCCTACGGAAATGCTAAGAAATGCTAAGGATACTATCCGGACCCTAAAATCCTCGACTCYACTATACGCACTACGYAATCGCGYAACAACTATGCGCTCTAAATTCACCGCATAAATACTTAAAGTTCGAGCTCGTTAAGAGCTACAATTTRAGCTATTRTTAAGTAAATTTAGTAGCGTAGTTGTAACACAATAAATTATAGACTATATTACGCTAGAGATCCGGCTTTATAGCTTCCGCGAGTCTCTAYATRGGCTTTAGATAGYATTAATTTTGCCTACCTATTTAYAACYACACTATTATATAAYAGATRGTATAYAACTTAAAACGGATCTTATAATAACTCGTTAYGCTAAAGAAGCTCGAAGAAAAATCGYAAGAATCGGAYCGCTATATAAAAAGTTATCGCCGGTTYAAATCYACGCTGCTAGTRTCGCTCCCTAACTRATTATATAGTTGCTTCTATGCACGTAYAGCGCTCCTTAAATATTGCCGCTAGCCCTCCTTAAAACCGTTCTTAACCCACTGCTCTCGTGTTACATCTATTAATGCTTTAAGACTAAGATCCCTCTATACAAAGTAGTCCTGTATCTTATATAGATTATCTTAGCGGTTGTGCTTCGTCTAATAGTCCACCGCTAAGATAAAGTTAATGCAGTTCTTAAGCTAGTTAAGTGGATTAACTAAGGGCTGTCGAACTTAACTTAATAGCGGCTCTGTAATAGGCCGTGGAGGTGTGTTCTCTTTATTACCGTCCGGTAAGGCTCTACTAAGGTAGAAGTTCTATACTTGGCTATAAAGTAACTATTGCTGCTGCTTACGCCGGTTTGGACTAACGGTGTTATCGTAAGGGCGCTCCTTTCGTAATATCGTATAAACTGCTATGCGATACGTAATAGTAGCTAGTAGTTCGAATTTATCTATATACTTGACCTTCGGATTAGGCCTCTTAAGCTGTTTATTTATCAAGCTGTTCTTAATTGCTTTAGCCTAGTTAAGGCCAGCCTATGCGAATAATTCGCAGTGTTCCTCGATATTAGCTACATCCCTAGGCTACTAGCATGTCTAACTATAGTTCCAACACCTCTCTTAATTGCACGTCTATACGTCGTATATGCGGTGCTTTAAATCACCGGTTTTCTCTAGTGTAGCACGCTTAACTCGAACGTTCGCTATCTAAGTGTTCGTAACCGTTCGTCGCTATAAACTCTACGTACTAAGGGCTATTAGTCCTAATATAACACTCGCTAGTATAGGCTAGAACTCGCAGGTAAGATGTAGCTATAGGTCCTTATATCTACACTTACGCTAGACACGTAGTTAAATTAATGCCTTCTCGTATAATTCATTATAGGCTGGATCCTATAAAGGCTAGTATATCCTAGAGAGCTTGCCGTAAGCCGCGTGAAGGATAGGACTAAACACAATATCCTTACGGTAACGAGGCACCTACAGGTCTTAATCGTACTTATAGCGCAACTTATACTACTTCTTAAACCTTCTGAATTAAGAGCCGTCCGCAGAGGACTTCTTAGAGTAGGCTATTAACTCGACACGCTCCTTGCCGCAATTAACTGTCTATGTGGTGCTATATAAAACCGGCCTATTCTTTCTAGCCTCCTCATCCTTATTATTAACATTAATATTAACTGTATGTTGCTTGCGTAACCGCTACGTACTCGGTAGTAGCTATTCTTTATCTTTATCTTTATTATCCTTATCCTTATTATCCTTATCCTTATTATCCTTAGTAACGAACAGCGCCTTATCCGCGACATCCACCTCTTAAGCCAGCTTAGTGCTAACATTAACTTCTGCAGCAGTTCCGGCTCTATTACGCGAACGGCGCTTTCGAGAACCCTCCACTTCTACCGCCGCGGCGCGCTTCTTCGACGATTGCGACTTCTTTACGCTCTAAGCGGCCTTACCCTTGCCCTTAGTATTAGACGGTCTAGCCTTCGGTGTTCGCGGAGTAGCGGCAGCAACAGTAGCAGCAGCAGCCTCTTAAGCCTTCTTAGATAGACGCGCTCTGCGTAGCGTATTACCGCGAGAGGTACGTAATAGAGCCGGCGGCGGCGCAGTACACACTCGATTTTCGGCTATTTCGACAATATCGTCCTTTTCGATCACTACTGGGAAAAAAACACGGATATAGGGTAGTGTTGTGTTAAGAACATAGGTTGTACGCCAAACTTTGGTGTGTGGCAATGTTTGGCTAACGATGAAGCCCTAGGAACCCCACATGTTGCAACTCACTTGGTAAAGAGTGTAATGCTGGTGTTCTAAAGTACGCAGATCGACCTCGACAGCTGACATCAGCTCGCATGCATCCAACTCTCCATGAAAACATCAAAGCATCTACGTTTCGTTCTGTTTATCAACTGGTGTAACCACATCTTCCTGCGTAACATCGCTTGATCAAAAACAGTTTCGAGCTCCTTGAAGATGGACGAAAGAAGACGGGCCTCGTCCTTGTCAAATTCAACAGTCGAGGCCGATCGAGACCTGATGCTCGACATTTACAACCCCTTTGGACTGTTCCCTAGCAAACCTGTTCTCGTCCATCAGTACGCCTTCCTATGCGTAGTCGCGAACATCGTCTGACATACTCGTTAGACGGAACTCTTTAACTCGCAATGCATTCGGCTCCACCCCTCTCCTGGGCCCGCTTCTCTTCGACAACAACGATTCGGATGCACGAGATCACTGTGCGGCAGAAAGAAGTACGTCGAATCAAAAAGCCGCCTTCCAGCCAAATCTAATCATTTCCCCTTACAGCTTTCCTGAGTTGGCTTCGGCTCGCATCATACATGGCTGTAGTCTCCGTTGCGATCCTAATTTCATTCCATCTCAAACACAGAGCTTCGGATCTGGAGAAGCGAATTGCTCTTCCTCTGGGGATTGTATTCTGGTTGCTAGTAAGTCACTTGCCTTGAGCGTGAGGACTCTCTTTGCAGTCGGCGGGCATGGAGATACCTCTGACACAGCTGACCTCTGTCTGTTTCGTTAAGGCGATAGCTTGTCTGACCAGTGGACTTTCGAATTACATCAAGACTGTCAATCGGTATAGTAGACGTGAAGCACTTGTGCAGAGTGGATGGGGAACGCAAGTGGTGAGTGGAGCCGTTCAAGCATGCTTTCGAGATTGTTCTGACCTCCTAGCTAGGTCTTCACAGTGGTAGCCTGCGYGATCATTGCGGCTTGCGTGCTTTTCCTGTCGTTGGAAGCGAAGGAAAAATCCTAGTAGACAGTGATCTAACAAGTCTGAATGAGTTGCGCCGTGTTCATTCCATCTCATACGCCGTCCTGTTCTCATTTCCTCATTTGGGTGCCCGCAGCTTCTTGCACCGCAACTCCACACCACGTTTGTGGTCCGATTATCATGTACAGTCGTCTTGAAATGTCGCCAGCTCACCCGACATGCGTCCTTTCAGCGCTTCCCTCAGATGTCCAGAATCGCCCACGTGGAATCATCCACGGTCGTGTACACCTTGCCCAGATTCAGCAGCTCGTCGGCCGCCTTGAGCACCTCCGACAATTCCAAATTACACCTGCCGGCCAGGTCCTGTGCATGAAGACCCTCATTCGTCTGCGGTGTCGATTTGAGACATGCGAAGAACTTTCTCGCCGACGCGCTGCAGCCAGACAAATCGCCGCCACCGCCTGCCGAATACCCGTTCTGTTGCTGTTGTCCGCTCATCCCACCCGCTGCTGCACCGCCGTTTGTCTGTTGTTCAGGTGGTCCTCGTGTGAAGTGTAGATGTACGACCGTCGCTTCGAGCAGATGGTATGAGATCTCATTGTAGTCCTGCACATGCCGCACGTTGATGGCACCGACATGTCTCTTGTTGTTGAAAGCCTTCAGACGACCCCACACACGTGCATAGCCCTGCTCCACGGGCATACCGCTCTTCTTCTCACCCTCAAGCGCTTCTGCGTCAATCCACACCTTGACTTCAATCGAGCCGGTTCCATCGTCAATTTTGTATGTGACGTTTGTGGTCTGCGTGCTGATGTTCCGGACCTGACCCACAAACGTCACTTGTGTCATCTCTGCATCGTCAACGACGAAGTGGTCGGCGTCGGGGTGGGGATGGTGTGCGTCGAGGAGCTGCTTGATAGTGACGGGTCGCAGTGTGTCTTTTCCATATCCTCGCTTCTGGGCCGATCCCTCACCGCCGCCTTGGGAGCCCGTCATGAACCCGCCGCCATTTGCAGCACCGCCGGCGTTGTAGGATGTGTTGGAGTAGCCGTAGTCTAGGTGGATAGTCAGAGGTACGTTCAATGGTCCATTTCCATGTCGAACAACTCACCCATTGTGTCGTCAGCTGCTGCGTTGATGTTTGCAAAACTTGTTGTGTTTGTTCTGGTCGCTGATGATATTTGCCGGGGGCACTGGCGCCTTCTACGCGCTTCGCGTGCCTTACGCGACGCGATGTGGGGTATTATTTTCCGCTTGATTTCAAATTCAAGGTATGCCCCTCTACCTCTACTTTACATCATCATTGAAGAGCATCGTCTTTCCTTTCATCCACTCGACTCTCCCTCCTCACTCCTCACAGTCAATTTTCAGAGCACATGCTCGGCTGTTTTGCATAGTCACAGGCGAACACTGTAACACAGTAGACTTGGCCGGGAGGACAAGAACAAGCRAGCAAGGTGGGTACCTAGATTGTTTGCTTGCCAGCTCCGTCTCTTGCACATCGTCAGCACCTCGGAACTGAACACGCATCAACACACAACATCCACAATCATGGCAATGGGAACAGGAAAGAAGATGAAGAATTTTGTCCCGCTCGAAGCCAACCCGGAAGTGATGACGAGCATGATGAGCAAATTGGGCCTCTCGCCTTCACTTGCCTTCCACGACGTCTTCAGCATCGACGACCCCGATCTTCTGGCCTTCATCCCACGCCCTGCATATGCGCTGCWGCTAGTTTTCCCAATCTCAAACACATACGAGAAGTTTCGCCGGGAGGAGGATGCTTCCAAGGAAGACTATACGGGTAGTGGCGACGGCGAGGACGTCATTTGGTACAAGCAGACTATCGGAAATGCATGCGGGCTGATAGGTCTACTACATGGTGTCTCCAACGGACCTGCCAGCTCTCAGATCCAGTCTGGCAGCGATCTCGACAAGTTGGTCAAGGCTGCGGTACCGCTGAAGCCTGCTGAACGCTCCGAGTTGATTGAACAGACCGAGGCTCTAGAGACTGCTCATCAAGCAGCTGCGGCGACGGGTGACAGTGCACCACCTGCTGCTGGGGACGATGTGGACTTGCATTATGTGTGTTTTGTGAAGAGCGAGAAGAACGGGCATCTCTGGGAGATGGATGGACGTCGGAAGGGACCACTCGATAGGGGAGCTCTGGCGGCGGATGAGGACGTTCTCAGCCAGACTGCTCTGGACAAGGGCGTACGGGCCTTCTTGAAGCGCGAGGCAGAGGCTGGCGGTGGAGAATTGCGGTTCAGTCTGATCACACTTGCTGAGTCTCTGGACTAAGCAGGCCAATCATATTATTATCACTTTTCAGTGAGCTCGTAAGATCGATGTCTGCTGGACCGCGGTGGTTGGACAGTGGTGGTTGGACCGTGGTGATTGCGCAAGAATCTACTAGGGTCAGGGTTGGGGTAGCACGATCTCGACTTGATACATGACAATGCCAGTACCCTTGCAGGTATAGCGTGACGATATGCGTCGTGACATTGTCGACTGTGTATTGCTGGCCGGGAGACGATGTAATTATACAGCGATTGTGTCTCCACGACCCCRAAGTCCAGTTACGCATGGGTGACACTTTCACTCCGGGCACCAACTCCCAACCTTGTTGAAACGTGAGCTGCTGGATAACATATGGCCCGCTAGAGCGCTGTCTCGGAAAGGAAGTCTCTTCCAGTTTTCCGAAGCTATCATCTAATCTGCACCCTCTTCAGCAGGCTTCTCTTTTAAGAAAAGCACCGGCTCATGCGTGCTGCACATCCCATCCCACGGCAACCACTCCCCAGAGGCCTGCCACGCACCACCTTTGCCAACCTCGTCAACACGCGGCTGTGCCTGTACAGGCTTCCCAGGAAACCACTCTTTGCCGTCTATTGCAATGAAGCTCTGCTCTGTGGCCGAAGACTCAACAATTTTTCCTTTCGCCGCCCTTAACAGATTCTCGCCCTCTGGATGCCACCACATTCTCGGCCACCACCAGTCCCGCACCGCTTTATTTCCCGTGATATGAAAGAGTGGGAACGGATTTTGTGACACTGTATTCGTTCCCAGCATGACCTCCTCCCAGCTTCCAGCACTTGGATTCTCCATTGCTGCAAAAGGAGGTTCCGACTGCTGTACGTCTTGCCTCAAAGTCCAAGACTTCATCGCGCTCTCGCTCCAGACTYCCTTCCCTTCCTTTGGGAGAGGTGTACTGTCATTGAATCGCATCCAAGCCAGCGATCGTTCCCAAGCCGTGGCGGCCTGGAAGAGCTCAGATTCGTAATCGAGACATATATGATATTCCACCCTCTTCTCAGCCGGGATATCCGGAATGACAATGTCCTTGTTGATTGACATGGGCTTCGTCGCAAATTGAGCACCATACTGCAGCTTCCTCCGATTCACCTCCTGCTCTCCCCAAACTTCTGCGAAAATGTATTGATCGCTGTAGGAATAGATCCATTCTGGATCATATCTTGCACTCAACATATCCAATGTCGCGGCGAACATATCTCGCACATCCTTAACTGGTCCCATGATCGTGCCGCTGTTCAAATATCGAGGTCTGACTGTGTGGAGGTCTGTATCTGTTCGAGGACCGAATGCATCTCTTGGGAGGGTCGACTCTGGCGCAGCCCATACTGCTGGGTCGAGCACTCCCTGTGGCCAATGAACCTTATCCGGACCAAAGATGATTGTGTTACGGACTTGGCTGCCGACGGTCTGTTTTCCCAAAATGCCATCTCGTCGAACTCGGTCGTCGTTTGTCTTGAGGACTTTGGCGTACCTTGAGATCATCACATCGGGGCGAAGCTGCAACCAGATGTCATAGCCGTCCACCAATAGCACCAAATCATTGTCCGCGGAAGGTGGGAGAGAGCGAAGATATGTCAAGGTCTCGGTGATCTTGAACAAATGCGACTCCGTGCCATTGTAGATGCCTCTTCCTCCCCACCCTATGAGAGTTGGCTCGGGGTAGCCAGTGACCGCAGCTGAAAGCAAGAGCCGGCAGAAGTTGAGGTTTGCACATGTTGCGGGTACTAGAAGGTGAAGTGTTTGCGAAGTCGAGGCGGAGCCGAGAATGTCCAAGGATGCGGTTCGAATGGTGGAAAAGTGAAGTCCGAAGAAGAATGGTCCTAGTATTACGAGGAGCGCTGTTGCAAACAAGGCGAGAAAGCGCTTCAGARAGTTCATGTCGAAATGTTTCCTCCCCGCAGAGATGCGGAATGCTAGGTAGGACCGGGGCTGTAGCACGATTGCGCTAACTAGCAATAAGACACGATTCGCACCATTGAAGTGGTGACGGAGATACGGTCGTGCTGGGAGGCGATGGAACGGCCAAACAAGCTGCACAAACAAACAGGAGACAAAAGAAGGTGATCAAGGAGAGAGACTACAAAAAATGTGACGCTGGCCGTGGCCGCGTGTCTCCAGATCCCCCCATGCCCAGGGGACCACATTTGGGGATTTCTCTGGCCCGGCGGACATACCGGAGTGGAAAGAGTCGACATCAGCAGCGAGTAGGAGGCCTGGGCGCAGACGCATAACCCGGTCCAGATCTCAATGGTTGTTGTTGTCATGATCATGATCAATCATTGCTTTCAATCTTGCCGTGTACAAGCCTCCCCGCCACGAAGACGCCGTCCGTCTAAGTCGCGGTCACGAGCAGCGAGACGTGACGAAAGCCGGCGGCACCCAGCTGCAGTAGAAATCAGCTAACAGTGGGGATTCGAGAGCATCCTAGTCTCGCTTGTGAGACGTACCACTGCGACCTACCAAGCGCAGTGTGGAGACTTCTGCCATACCAGGGATTTGCTCGGACATCCATGCTTGCAATCGGAGATGAACGACAGCAGGGAGGCTCATTAGATGCATCCACAGCAGATTCTCGTCAAAGCCCTACACATATCTTCATAGGTAGCTATGGATGACTCTAGGAATGACGTACCAATACAACGGAGTACGCTTGCAGTCTGCATCGTCCGGGCTCTCTCATTCCCGACTTGATGCCGCTCGCCGACGCCAAATCCAAATCCATGTTTTTTCAGCTCCATCATTTTTCAGCTCGGAGTGAAGTCAAGGATCGTCGGCATCCTTCACGGCACGAACGGCCGGATGCGTGAGCTGATTGGCGTCTGGGCGTCTCTGGGCACTGMTTGGCTTTCATCGCGCTAATGCAGGTCAGAAAACCAAAGGATCGTGGCGTGAATAGAAACAAATGAGTTGAACACAAGCTCCGCAGTGGTTCACGTCGAATACATATGTTTTTGACACGATGGAAATGCAACGTATCCTGTGAACACGGGAAGGATTGTGCAAGCGGGCGCTCCGTCGGTCCCTCCTCCATGATAAATGTGCAACGCTCCAAGAAGGCTACCAGTCGCGAACAAAATCATGGCTGTTCGTTGTGTCCCACGCCCACTGTATCATGTGGTCTACCTGCGACAGCCATGGTAGGCTTGTCTTCTAACGTACCCCAAAACTGACAATCCAAAAAGGAAACGAGGCATTCGCACGCGGCCCAGTCGCGGCAGTGCCTCAAGAAAAAATCGCATCGTTACAACAAACGCTGGCGACTACCAGCTCTTCCAATGCACTCGACAGTGAAACCGATCCCCGTGAGCTTTTCGGCGTCCACCACATTGCGGCCATCGAAGACCAGGCGAGGTCGCTTCATCGAGGTAGCAATTTGTACCCAATCTAGGCGCTTCTCGGCTTGTACATGTGCTCCGTCAAATTGTCCTGCTATGTCGGATGGCAAAGGCGTTCCGAGTCCGCTGTCGTGCGAGTCGCTCCCTGCGTCCGAGCTGGAGGATGATTGGGGTCGGCGTGCGGTCTTGGACTGAACGATGAGCTGTTGAATCTTTCCATTGGCCGAGCCGGCTTCGTGGACTCTGTCGGTCTTGAACTCATCCCATTCAGTCAGKATCACAACCGCACTTGCGTCTGCACACGCAGAGAGCGCGTCCGAAACGACTTCCACTCGTTGTCGGACCACTTCCGCTGGATGTGTGCTTGCAAGATCGCGGTGAATTTGGTCTTCGGAGACCTGGGGGTCGTAAATGGCAATCTTTGCTCCCTCGGCAATAAGTTGTCCAACAATCGTTATCGCTGCACTTTCTCTCGTGTCTCCCGTGTTCTTCTTGTAAGCAAATCCAAGCACCGCAATCTTCTTGTTCCTCAGTGTGTTATACAGTCGTTTTGTAATCCGCTTCGCAAACCGCTCTTTCTGATACTCGTTGATATCCACGACCGATTTCCAGTATGCAGACACCTCGGGAAGATGCAGAGTCTCTGCAATATACGCAAGACTCAGCACGTCCTTCTTAAAGCAAGAGCCACCGAATCCTGCTGATGCCTTCAGCATACGGCTACCGATACGTGAGTCCAAGCCGCATGCGAAGGAGAGCTCTTCAATATTCGCGCCCGTCGCTTCACAAATCGCACTGAGCGAATTGATGCTGGAGATACGCTGAGCGAGCATGCAGTTCGCGGCCAGCTTAGCCAGCTCCGAGGACCACAAGTTGATGGTTATGATGCGTTCACGGGGTACCCATGCCGAGTAGACCTGAGTCAGAGCTTCTGCAGCTTGCCTTGCGCTTYCATCCTTGGTGGACCCGATCAGAATGCGGTCAGGGCGGAGCAAGTCGTTGATCGCCGTGCCTTCCGCAAGGAACTCTGGATTGGAGAGAATGTCAAAGTGAACATCGGGGGAGGCATGCGCATCGAGGATCTCGCGAATGTTCTCAGCAGTACCGCATGGCACTGTACTCTTCTCCACGATAATCTTGTCGCTGGTTGCAACCTCCGCAATGGTCCTCGTAGCTGATTCAACATATGCAAGATCGGATGCGCCGCCCGCTCCCAAACCTTCCGTTTTGGTGGGGGTATTGACCGCGATGAAGATCAAGTCTGCTTCGTCGATGGTTTTGGCAACGTCGGTGGAGAAGTGGAAGTTGGGAAGACGGCCGTCGGTGCCATCTCTTGCGATCTCGACAACTTCGTATAGACCAGGCTCGTAGATGGGAAGCGCTTTGGACTTCCAGGCTGCGATTCGAGACTCGCTCAGATCGACGACGGTGACTGTGATGTCGGTGTTCTCTTTGGCAATGACTGCACTGGTAGGTCCACCCTGAGAGTTGTGAGTGAGGGAGGTTGTTTCGGTATGGACATTGCATAACCTACAACGTAGCCGGCGCCGATGCAACAGATCTTCTTGATGGGCCTGCGGGTCGTCRTTGTCGTCGCCGTGCTTGATGCCATGCTTTGTTCCCAACAGAAACGATGTGAGCCCGGTCACGAAAGATGAGCGACGGGAATGAACAGCTGCTAGCGGGATCTACATTGAGAGTTACTTAGTCTTAAACTCAGTTCGCGCCGCGCAAGAGGGTCTCACGGCGGCACGTGGGGCGACCGTTGGTAACCTAAATTAGAGAGCCGAGCCCGCGTAGGTTCGATCAGGGGCGCGCGACTCGTGAGGCGTCCCAAGGCGACAGACAATTTATGCGGTAKGCGACGTGTGACGGCCTGATGGTGTGACCCCAGCTACCTTATCCCTGGCGTGATTCCACCTCGTTGTCGCCGGGGATCGGGCATCGGGATGCAAATGTTATGTACCAACAAAGAACGCGCTTCTCCAGTGCTACTCGGGCAAACTTCGTATCACAACACCACAGCATCTGAGCCCTCTCTATCGGGCCACCCTCCGGACAGACGTATGCGGGACCGGCCGCACGACGCCTTCCCGCAATACGGCAGTGGACAAAGGAAATGGGTAAAATCTGGCCGTTCGCCGGCGTCTGAGGGGGCAGCACGAAGATTGCACCGTATGTTGCAGCAATGCTCCTCATCCATGGCCATGACGTCGCGAGACTGACGGCAGGCTGGGCCAAGCCCATGTGTCTGTGACAACTCAGTTATTATTATTGTCCACTCTCGCGGCGCCGAGAACTGGTCGCCAATGGACGTCGTGGACAGTTGTGGCTTACGTGTCGAGGACGGGAGCTGCGGCACTCGAGGCACTGCACCTTTCTGGGCGTTGGGTCGTTCTCTTGGTACGTCGCTCGCGCCATCGGATTCATTTTGCCTCTCCTCCGTCCAAATAAGATTAGATAGCCATCATAGCGCGCTACCTTGTTCGCCCAGAAATGAAAGCCCCTCCGCGGACGCCAGTCCTACAAGGTCGAACGTCTCCATAAAATTGGCCACAAACGCTCGCCGTCCTGTTCCGCCTCTTCCTCTTGGTCACGGCTTGCGGCAACACATCATCTCTTGGCGTCAGGCCGTGCACCTTCTTCACATTCTTGCTGACTTCCGCCTTCTCGTTTCCCCATACACCCGCCACACCAGTAATCAATCACGCGTCCGGACTTTAATAATTTCCTGTTTGCTGCTGTGACTGGCATCCGACGGATCGAGTATCACAATGGACGAAAAGCAAGACACTCGAGTGTCGATAAACTCCATGAGTTCTGGCGACTCTCGATCCGACGTGGAGCACACCGAGGAGAATCACGAGCTGCTTGACAAGGATGAACGGGAAGCACAGGACCTCGAGGCACAGTCACCCGTCGAACCATCATCACCTCCACCGGTCGAGTACAGTGTCTCGACCAGCCGGAAACTCTTTTATCTCGGCCTATATTTCCTTCTCAACCTCGCCGTCACCCTCTCCAACAAGGCACTCCTACGAAGTGTAAGTGCGAGATGTTGGTCTAGCGTCATGTCTCACAAGCTGACATCAATGCCAGGCATCATATCCATGGTTATTGACATTTGCCCACACATTTGCGACTTCAATAGGATGCACGGCACTGCTTGTGACTGGCCACCTCAAGCTATCGAAGCTTACCGTTCGCGAGAATCTGGTTCTGGTTGCGTTTTCCACATTGTTCACCCTCAACATTGCGATTAGTAATGTCTCTTTGTAAGTCGAGTCTGTTCGAACTTCGGTTGCAATGACTAACCCCGTTTGTAGGGCTCTCGTGTCTGTTCCATTTCATCAGGTCATGCGCTCCACCTGCCCGCTGATGACCATTCTCATCTACAAAGTTGCCTATGGCCGCACCTACTCCAACGAAACATGGATTTCGATGATTCCGCTGATCCTCGGAGTTGGTCTGGCAACGTTTGGCGACTACCACTTCACCATGCTGGGGTTCACGCTCACACTCTTTGGCGTAATCCTCGCCTCAATCAAGACAGTCGCAACGAACCGCTTGATGACCGGCTCCCTCAAACTGTCCGCCATGGAGGTCCTCTTCCGGATGTCACCTCTGGCGGCGATTCAATGCTTGGTGTACGCGGGAGGAAGCGGTGAGATGAGCCGTTTCCAAGCGTCATACTCTGAGGGAGTGTTCACGACGGGCCTCGTGGTCTTCATTGTGTCCAATGCCGCCATGGCATTTGGCCTAAACCTGGTGTCCTTCCAGACCAACAAGGTCGCGGGAGCTCTCACCATTTCCGTCACCGGAAACGTCAAGCAGTGCTTGACTATCGTCCTGGGGATCGTGCTCTTCAACGTCAGGATAGCGCTCCTGAATGGTGCGGGCATTTTCATTGCAGTACTTGGAGCCGCCTATTACTCAAAAGTAGAGTTGGATCGCAAGCGCCTTTCTAGCTAGCCCTACAAATCGACCGCAAAGTGAACGGTATTTGCCCTTGATATCTTGATCATCGTCACAACATTTTGGTTTCAAATGCTCTGACGTCCCTCCTCTCCCCTGCCTATTCCTTGCCCATAATGGCCAGGTTGAAACAGCGACGGCCGAGCTCAGGGCCAAAACGCCAATTCAGGCTGAAACACTTTTCAGCAATAGTGTCACGGATTCTCCCGTTCCAGATCCATTTTCGGGCACAGATGTTGCCCAAGATCCAGATGTTCTTTCCAGCGAAGTGGCTCCATGTAAGAGAGTATAGAGGCTGATCATAAGTATCACAAGGAGTTGTTGTCGTCCGGATGCGCCTTGTACTCCGTAGTCTACGGACGAGGCAAGCCCGTATCAGGCTTAGCGCATTACATCGACACCCACCGACACGCAMTCCATACCTTCGAAATACCACACGATATCTGCTTCAACCGCTCGCCGCTACCATCTGCCGCGCCGTGAGCCCGCTACGGCACCTATCATTCTCAACTGTCGCGAATGTGCGCGCCTTGCCATCATTTCACCCATGATTCCACCTGCCCTCGGCGTGCGCGCACCCTCTCCCAAAACATACCCTTCGCTCAAACAGTCGAAAATACACACCACGCCGAGACTTCTGGCACACAATCTCGCAACCCCTCTCGCCGAGCCCGTCCGGAGATTGCAGTTCCGACGATGTGCGTAGGAGAGGCTGGCTACTAGACTGGCGAATCGACGATGAAGCAGGGCAATTTGCGCTTGTTTCCTACATACATAATAACAGCAAAACGATTGGACGATGGTTGRGCCTGGGCTAAAGATCGCGGATACCAACACAACTATTACCAGCATCGATTGGGTGTTGCCCTCCCACCACGTCGAGTGGCGCTAGGCAGCAGCATGGCAGTCGAATTCTGGACGGGCGAAACACCAACACCGCCACCGACACTAATACGAGGAGGGGTGGGGCTTAACGATCGCATGCTGCTTGTGCCTCTTCAAGATCAGGCCGTTCGACCGCCAGCAGTACAGGATATAGAACTCCTCTACGGACACCCGCAAAGTCACCGGCGCCTGGGCTCCGTTTCGATCGACGCATGTCGACGATGCTGTCCACTTTGGACGTGTGCATCTTAACTGCTTAGCTACTACCGTGTTCAACTAAAGGCCGGCATAGTGATAGTTAAGAGAAGGCGCGCGATAGCATAGAAGGGCTTCGCCTCCAAACAAATCCTTGACCTACCGGTGCCTTGTAATGCGTTTTCATGTAGCTGGTCGTCTAGCGGTACCTTGGGGAGCTTTCGGGATATTGGGCCGAGGTTGTGATCGCTGGCCTCATACTGGACGGACGGTCATAGCCCTGCCTCTCCTCTAATGCGGCGCGAGCGTCTAGTAGCCTCACGGCGCTTCCCTTATATAATCGCTCCCCGCCGTCCTCGTGACTGGACATTCAAACATGCCGGTTCCGATCGGTTGTAGATCCACACGGCCACCCGCGTTTTCATCTTGCTATTGGAAATACCATAGCTGCCTAACCGGTTAACCTGGGCAGGCAACAGCGGAATGATTAGATGGCAGTCTATAGTTGTGAGACTGGTCACTGGGGTCTGTGCCGCAGCACAGCACAGTAGCGAGATACTAGTAACAGCCTTGTATTAGGCTAGAGGATGCGCTCGAGAAGAGAATTAATTTACCTATTACCAACTTAGGTGGCGTAAAGGACATGGGACTGTCGAGCTACGCCACTTAACATAGTAGGAGACGATTGGATAGCATTTATCAACGAAACTCCGGAAGGCGGCGGTATTAAGACAGGCGTTGCCGGTGACAGCCTTCGATCTGCAACTAAGCCATACGTCCAAGGTGTTAGTATAGCGGCTGCTCGAGCTACCCGAACTCCCCGAGCTGCCCGAAGCGTAGCGTTAGGTGTGAAAGCTCTCACAAATCTCCTCCACGGGCGAGCTAGTAACAAAACATGTCGTACATTTTTCAATCTGTTCTAGATGAGCTCGAACGCCTGTACTTAAGCTGAGCGTGGGCATAATCACTTAATACTCTGATCTAATGTCGGCTTCGTCCTCGACAGCCGGTAATGTCTTCGTAATACGCGGATTGTTATAGATTAGGACCGCCCCCCGCGCATAAGTGGCGTAGAAAGGGGGTCGTTTTTCCCATCTATTGATATAATGGATCTAAGCAATGTCCTTGTTAACTTGTTCTTTCAGCGAAGGCTAAGCGAACCGCCTTCCCTTAGTCCTCCCTAATAAAACTACGATAACAGGCATATTATGTATAACATGAGCGGTATCGAAGTCGTAAGAGGCGTGGAATACATCGAAGACGAAATAGATGGTTCTGCCCTAGTCTTCACACGCAAGGTACAAAGTCTCTATGCCAGGAATGCCGAGTATCGAAAGGACATGTCTAATAATAACTAGGGCAGGCTCCGAAATGTATTCACTATGTCCTCGCACTAGGACTGTAACGCGAGTTAGCTGTTAGAGACTGAGATGTGCCTTGAAATTTGTTAGTGGGAGTGCTAACAAGAATACTGCCTGCCGCTTAGAGACCCACCTTAATATTACTTCGCTCAGACATTATCCAGACTTTAATAGCAAGTGCCTTTATGCTAAGGAGTRGATTAGGAAGATAAGGAATGCTAAAGAGAGGAAAGCGAAGGTCATAACGGTAATAACTGAAAATTGCTACCCCGCATAAATCTAAGGTCCCTTACTGCTTAACCCTGCTAGTGGCCTTGCCTAAAGCCCCGGATTATCCAAAAGTTATTCACTTTCTAGTGTTAGATACTAGCAACTCGCACATTTGCCGTCTCTACTGTTGCTCTAGGTGACGCCGGCTACATTATATGCACAGCTCTGGCCGTAATTTGTAAAGCGAATTGTTCGCAATGTTGTTTGGCACGGCTACCCGCGTAGCCGGCCCTCGTAGAGCACGTTCCTCTACACACACATTTCTGTCGCACAGTTAGCAAAGGTTTTGATTTATCTTTTAGTTAGTAGATCTCTTAATTGATTAGAAGACTCACTGTTAATGCGACGTTGGACAACGCCTTAGATAACGGCTTGCTAACGTGGAGTATTCACCGGAAGTCTCTATTGCGTTTAATAAGAGCTTGTTAATAGCTTTGCGATAGAGGGAGAACTTCGTTATATATACTTAGTTAATGTTCAGTTGAACACCTACTCTAAATTGCTTATAGGTATACTACTCGCCTAATGCATTTACTAAATGTTACACACAGCACACTTATAAAAGTACTCCTGTTCTCCTATAGAGTAAGATCTTACGTTAAATGTAGTAATTATAATAACTTGCCGAGCGTATATATGTTTATGTAAATCACACTGCCTTTATACCTTTACTAGTCTTTAAAGTCGATCGCCACGAATAGGGCTAGGCATTTTCGATATTATCCTGCTTAAGTATAGCATTAGAGCGTTAGAGATGTGTTTCGATACTAATCTAGAGTAGGTAATAGTTAGTCGAATTATACTAACGTTAGGTCCTTAGACATTATACCGTACGATAGGGACTCGCCTAACCTTTCTAAACTACTTAGAAGTATAATAGAACTTTGCTTTATTATACGATAAATATACGCTAGCGGCTAATATCGGATCGGGAATGCATAAATAAGTGCTTAGAGAAGCTATATTATAATTGCTACTATTCTTCGCTTATAGTATACGCTCTATAGCTATAAGGGGACGATTAGTAGTAGATAGTAAGCTAGACCCGTTATTATAGTTACCCGATATACGACCGACCTTATCGGGCTCTCGTATAGTAGGAGAAATAAGAAAGGTACCGTAATAGTAACTTCGATCGTAGTCGCTAGAGAAGGCGGAAGGAAGCGAGCTAATCCCTCGAGGCTCTTCTATAAAACTATTAGCCCCGGACAAAATAGGTCTCCTCGACTAACTTGCCTCGGAGCGTATAGTTAGAGTAATATAGGCGATTAATATCGTCTCGGTAGCTACGATAAGACCTAGTATAAGTCCCTACTATTTAGTAGATATCCCGTCGTAGTAAAGCTTAATATTACCGTATAGTGTAGATATCTACTTAAATAGTAAGCCGACGAAGAGACTAAGGCGCGTAGTAAACCGTTAGGTAGAAATTTCTCTAAAGACATCCTCTAAAAGCGGGCTAAGAATAATAAACGCTATATAGACCTATTTCTAGTAAGCTCGGCGCTTATATACAAGCCGTGTTTATATATAATTACTAAATTATATACTATAGTCGCGTCGTAGAGGCGAGATACCTATCTCGGTAGCGGGGTAGAAATTGTCTTCGTCTTACGGATTCGCTAAGAGTACTATTAACCGTACGACTTAATATTAAAGAGGGCTAAAAAGATAGAGTATAGAAGAATAATAGCTAGTTCTATATCGAGGTAGTAAGTAAATAGACCGGTAAGCCTAGTAAGGAGGGCGAGGAGGTATTTATAGTCGTAGTTATAGCTATCGCATTGCCCTATATTAATAAACTCGTCCTCTATTAGAAAGAGCGGTACGAGAGTAACAGATGTCGCTAGTCCTTATAATTATAATATAGTAACTAGGCTTTAGCACTATAGACGAACTTAATACTATATCTACCCTATATTAAAGTATTCTATTACCGCTAGCAGAGTACTAAACTTAATTAAGTTAGAATAGATTCGGGCCGCTTTAGGACTAGTAGGCTTAATTATCTACGACCTAAAAGGTCTAATCCTCTCGCTATATCGTAGTAGAATCCTTTTATCCTCTCCTCTACCCTAACCTAACCCTACTTCGTTTAGTCGCGTAAGATAAATCTATGTTATTAAACCTAGAAAGTAACTAGAGAAGTAAGGCTAATAGAATAATAGTAGCTTTTCGGAGTAGTACTACGCACTCGACGCTACGAACCTATTAGGAAGTATTATAGATCTTCCTACTAAAGGCAATAGATTCTAGCATCTCTAGAATCTTAGTATAACCGGAGAG